TGATAAATGGGAATGGGGAGAGGGAAAGCACGATTAGGTGGGGTAATAGGGAGATGATTCGGTGTGTGAGGGAGAACAGGCATGGAAAACTGAGATGTTTGTTTATTGTATGAAAGTGAAAAGGGAATTAAAATGTATAATGAGGGGAGATGTTTGAATGGGGAATTATGTTTTATGTGATGTGATGGAAAGCCTTGGGGTCCTTTCTTTTTGGGGATCGCGAGGGGGACTATCATGTTTTTTAAAGTGTTATATTGTATATTGTTTATATGTTTGATATAATAAAGGGAAAAAAAAAAAAAGTCATGACTAGTTCGTCGGTGAGTGTTTTATCTTTGTTTATCATCTAGCCTTGAAATAAAGGAATTTTCACTTTAATCTGCATTTGGGTCCTGCCTGCTTCACACACCGTGACATTACGAACCAACCAACGATATGGGCCCAGCAGATCCGTTTGAGCAGGAACTAGTGGATTATACCTTTTCTTTGTCTGACTGCGCTCATCGATGGAGAGGAGCGCTCAGGGTTCAGCAGCGAGATGATGCTCTGGCAGATGCAGTCCACCTTACGCTGAGGAATCAAGATTGGTTAAATTCTTACCCGGCCTGGCTTTGGATTACCTCACGATTTGTTTTCCCGATCCTGATAGACCCAGGTCTCCAGATTCCCTTTTTGATACCACACGCATCGGTGTGGTCCGTCTGGCGTCAGCCCCTGCTTCTCACCCAGTGTTTGCTATAGTCCAGGAGCCATTAGCTTGTACTCGTCTGGCTTTTGGAGGTCCACGGAGCCTCCAAACGGCTCCTAAGAGGAGTCGCAAGGCCAGGTTAGCAGCACGAGCCCAAAGGGCCATGGTTCCAGAACCAGTTCAGCCCCCAGCAGCCATGGTTACAGACCCAGTTCTGGCCCCAGCAGCCATGGTCCTTGCTCCAGAACCGGTCCCGGCAGCCATGGTTTCGGCTCCAGAGCCGGCCCATTCAGCCATGTTTCCGGCTCCAGAACCGGACCTTACAGCCAATTTTCCGGCTCCAGAAACCGGACCTTACAGCCATGTTTCCGGCTTCAGAACCGGACCTTACAGCCATGATTCTGGCTTCAATTCCGGCTCCAGAGCCGGCCCATTCAGCCATGTTTCCGGCTCCAGAACCGGACCTTACAGCCATGATTCTGGCTTCAATTCCGGCCCCAGCAGCCATAGTTCCAGACCCAGCTCTGGCCCCAGCTCTGGCCCCAGCTGCCCTAGTCCCTTCTCTAGTCCCATCTCTAGTCCCTTCCCTGGTCCCTCCTCAGGTCACTTTCCTAGTCCCTTCTCTAGTCCCTACGCAATTCCTTTCTCAAGTCCTTTCTCAAGTACCTCCTCTAGTCACTTCCCTAGTCCCTTCTCCAGTCCCACCTTTAGTCACCTCTCTAGTCCCCTCTCGAGTCCCTTCTCTAGTCCCTCATCTAGTCCCTTCTCTACTCCCATCTCTAGTCCCTCCTCTAGTCACTTCTCGAATTCCCTCCTCTGTTCCCTCCTCTAGTCCCTCCTCTAGTCCCTCCTCTAGTTCCTCCTCTAGTCCCTCCTCTAGTTCCTCCTTTAGTCCCTCCTCAAGTCCCCTCTCTAGTTCCCCTCTCGAGTTCCCTTCTCTAGTTCCTCCTCTAGTCCCTCCTCTAGTCTCTCCTCTAGTCCCCTCTGGAGTCCCCTCTCTAGTTCCCCTCTCGAGTCCCCTCTCGAGTTCCCCCTTGGTTCCCCTCTCGAGTTCCCCCTTGGTTCCCCTCTCGAGTCACGTCTCAAGTCCCTACCCAATGTCCTGGTCCGTTGGAGGTTCCGCTGGGGGTCCTGCCAACTCCATGTCCTGTCCCGTTGGAGGCCCCGTCGACTAATCCTCTGCCGGGGGTCCTACCAATTGTATGTCTGTCCCGTTGGAGGTCCCGCTGTCTACTCTCCTTCCGGGGGTCCTGCCAGCTCCATGTCCTGTCTCGTTGGAGGTCCCGCCGACTACTCTCCTGCCGGGGGTCCTGCCAACCCTGTGTCCTGTCTCGTTGGAGGTCCCGCCGTCTACTCTCCTGCCGGGGGTCATGCCAATCCTATGTCCTATGCCGTTGGAGGCCCCGCCGACTACTCTCCTGCCGGGGGTCCTGCCAATCCTATGTCCTATGCCGTTGGAGGTCCCGCAGACTGCTCTTCTGCCGGGGTCCTGCCAACTCCATGCCTTGTCCCGTTGGAGGTCCTGCCGACTGCGCTCCTGCCAGGGGTCCTGCCAACCCTTGTCCTATGCCGTTGGAGGCCCCGCCGACTACTCTCCTGCCGGGGGTCCTGCCAATCCTATGTCCTATGCCGTTGGAGGTCCCGCAGACTGCTCTTCTGCCGGGGGTCCTGCCAACTCCATGCCTTGTCCCGTTGGAGGTCCCGCCGACTGCGCTCCTGCCGGGGGTCCTGCCAACCCTTTGTCCTGTGCCGTTGGAGGTCCCGCCGTCTACTCTCCTGCCGGGGGTCCTGCCAACCCTTTGTCCTGTCCCGTTGGAGGTTCCGCCGTCTACTCTCCTGCCGGGGGTCCTGCCAACCCTTTGTCCTGTCCCGTTGGAGGTCCCGCCGTCTACGCTCCTGCCGGGGGTCCTGCCAACCCTTTGTCCTGTGCCGTTGGAGGTCCCGCAGACTACTCTTCTGCCGGGGGTCCTGCCAACCCCATGTCCTGTGCCGTTTGAGGTCCCGCAGACTGCTCTTCTGCCGGGGGTCCTGCCAACTCCATGCCTTGTCCCCGTTGGAGGTCCCGCCGTCTACGCTCCTGCCGGGGGTCCTGCCAATCCTGTGTACTGTCCTGTTGGAGGTCCCGCCAACTGCGCTCCTGCCGGGGGTCCTGCCAATCCTGTGTCCTGTCCCATTGGGGGTCCCGCCGACTGCCCTCCTGCCGAGGGTCCTGCCAACTCCTGGTCCTCTTCCGTGGGGAATCTTGCCGACACCTGTCCCACCGGCTCCTGCCCGGCCTCCGGAGCTGTCCGGTCTTCGCCCTCGAGCCCGGCCCCCTGAGAGCCGCGGTCTTCGCCCTCGAGCCCGGCCCCCTGAGAGCCCGGCCCCCTGAGAGCCGCGGTCTTCGCCCTCAAGCCCGGCCCCCTGAGAGCCGCGGTCTTCGCCCTCCAGCCCGGCCCCCTGAGAGCCGCGGTCTTCGCCCTCGAGCCCGGCCCCCTGAGTGCCGCGGGCCTCGCCCTCGGGCCCGGTCCCCTGACTCTTCCTGCTGTTGCCTTCGCCCTCGGGCCCAGCCCCCTGACTCTTCCTGCCGCTACCTTCGCCCCTCCATGGTCCCCACCTTGGACTCTGTCTTGCCCCCGGGCCGTCCGCCCGAGTCCCCCTTTTTGGACTCTGTCTTGCCCCCGGGCCGTCCGCCCGAGTCCCCCTTTTTGGACTCTGCCTTGCCCCCGGGCCGTCCGCCCGAGACCCCTTCCTGGTCCTCTGCCTTGCCCCCGGGCCGTCTGCCCGAATTTCCCCTTTTTGGACTCTGTCTTGCCCCCGGGCCGTCCGCCCGAGTCCCCCTTTTTGGACTCTGCCTTGCCCCCGGGCCGTCCGCCCGAGACCCCTTCCTGGTCCTCTGCCTTGCCCCCGGGCCGTCCGCCCGAGTCCCCCTTTTTGGACTCTGTCTTGCCCCCGGGCCGTCCGCCCGAGTCCCCCCTTTTTGGACTCTGCCTTGCCCCCGGGCCGTCCGCGCGAGACCCCTTCCTGGTCCTCTGCCTTGCCCCCGGGCCGTCCGCTCGAGACCCCTTCCTGGTCCTCTGCCGTGCCCCTGGGCGGTCAGTTCAGTCCCGTCCTCCTGACCCCCTCCACCCACCCTGGTGGCTTAGTGATGCGTCCCTCCCCCCGGCCCCCTCCATCCACCCTGCTTGAGGTTTTGGATTTTTTTTGTTTTGGGACGTCTGGGATCCATCCCTTGAGGGGGGGGGGTTCTGTTAGGATCTGTCTGTGTTGTTGTTTTGTCTTGTCTTTTTCTATCTTTGGTTTCCTGTGTTATTTTGTAAAGTGTTCACCCCCGTTTCCTGCCTGTTGCTTTTGTCTGTTTCCCTCCCTGATTACCCGATTGTGTTCACCTGGTGCCTCTGTGTTTTCTCCTCCCTCCTCACCTGTCTCGTGTTTGTTTGATTAGTCCTGGGTGTATTTAAGTTCTGGGTTTTCTGTCTCTCTTTGTCGGGTTGTCTTGTGTCATGACTAGTTCGTTGGTGAGTGTTTTGTCTTTGTTTATCATCTAGCCTTGAAATAAAGGAATTTTCACTTTAATCTGCATTTGGGTCCTGCCTGCTTCACACACCGTGACAGCTACACTATAATCCATCTTTAAACTCTCAGTTATGCTGCCTTCCAGTTGTTTTTCCTCCTCAAAGGGTGGTCAAATTAAGTCTACCGACTGCCTGCATTTAATATGATTGCCACAGAAAACCAATTTGCCCAGTACAGGGAGAGACAGTAAAGAAATAAAATAAAAAGAAGAGACTGAACAGCAATAGATAGAGCCAGGAGGAGGGGGCAAAAGATCAAGCTGCAAATATGGAACCACTTAGGCCCTAAGAGCACGTAAAGGGTTAAAGATGGCTACGGGATAAGTGGAGCTCGTTTATCGCAAATTTGACAGTGGTAGTTAAATGGTGAGTTTTCCCTCCAAGCTGCCAGTCTGGGAAGCAGACGAGGCTCTCTGCTCTCCTCATCTCCGCTCTTTCAGACTTTCATGAGCTCCTCTTGTGTTGTTTAGGTTTGCTTGTCTCCTCATCTTAGCCCTGAATCTTCTGCGTGAAGGATAAGAAGAGGATTTCCTTCTGTCTCGCCTCTCACCTTTACACTAATCTTTTTCAGCGCTGCTTTGGGCCTGCAAGATTATATTCTCCATCCATCCCATCATCTTTTAAACCCCGTCTTCTCCCCTTTTTTCCTGTCTTTCTGTCCCTCGCTGTGGGACTAAATCTCCAACCTGCCACCCCTGGAGTCCTGGAGGCAGATGTCCGCAGCCTGGCGCTGAAGCGGGCGCTTGCCAGCAGCCCAGATGCATTTGCAACCCTTTGCCATTGTGATTATCTTGCTGTGTGAGGTGATCAAAATGGGCTCTGGCGCCGTGCAGAAGCAAAGTGGTGAGTACGCTGGGAAAAAAAACCGGATTCAATGCAGTAACTTTTATTTTAAAGCGTCACTGAGCTGATATTCTACATGATGGAAGCTTCTGGATTCTACACAATATGCAAAAACCAAAAGCGAAGAAATGTCAATTGTAAATGGATTTATTATATTTATTTTACAATGGGATATATTTTCAAATAGATAAATTAACATTTAGGGAACAGCATTAATAATATTTTTTTTATTTATTACCTTTTTTAACTAAAATTGCAAAATTCACTATAATCTAACACATGGTACATTAGTCAGCAGGTTTTTAAAAAACATTGACATTGATTTTCTTTACCGTTAATCTATATCTATATGGTTTTTTATATACTATTATTATTTATGTACAGAATGTTTTCAGTATTGTTAGACGTTTCAAGAAATTTGACATTTATAAATATATTTTCTTTGCTTAGTTTCTCTTTATCAACATCCACCACTGCAGTAGACATTGAATAGGTTATATTTCGTCCATTGCTACAAATCTAGAAATCAACGACTTTTAAAGTATTTTTCGGGAGAAGTTGAATCTAGATCATCGCTAAATGTTGACCACGTTACATTCTCACAGTTCCAATAAGGGGTTGGATTGTCACTCCTTGTAAAGCTCAGAGATTCCACAGTTGTTGCAAATTCTCCTTGAAACCAGATTTGTGGCTAATGAGTCTTAATAACCCCCCCCCCCCACCCTCTGAAAACAGTCTCACCACAGCCTCACAGGTATGTGGTGACCCTCACGCTCAATGGTGTCTGGTATTTCCTCAGGAATTTGGAACTAATAGAGGGGGATCCGGTCTCAATTACACCGTCATTTTAGCTTCCTAACCTCCCACGCCAAGAGGTGAGGCGTTAGGAAATGTTGAGGGGGGGCGCATTAAGCCATCACGTTCCACTGACTCTCATTCAGAGTAACTGCATCTGACAGCTAGATTACACACTTTCAATAATACCAGGTTTAACAAAGTCAGACTATCAGAGGAAAACATATAATACAACTTCTACTCAATGCAATATTTAGCAAAAATGGCATGCTCAATTAAGAATTGATAATATAGATAACCTATTATAATAATATTAGATAATTGAAGAAAAATAGGGCTGCACAATTTGGAAAAAAATATCTTGAGTTGCAACTGCGGTATGATTTGCGATATTCGAGAGATTGACCATATTTATTTTCATTGAAAAAGTTGACTACCGCAATCTGGATATTGCACTAGTACATATCGTTTTTTATTTATTTATTTAATTGCAACGAAAATGACTGCCGGTTCACAAGTAGATCGAAACATTAAATGTGCATAAACTAATTAATAATAATTGAACAAATGTTAAAAAAATATATGTATAGGTTTGAAACATACACATTTTGAGCATGATATTGTGCAACATTTTACAAAATTACAAAAAAATGTTGCTTAAAATTACTTTGAGTCTTGGATGAAGGCATTTGACGCTAATAGATCAGAACAGCTTAAATCTCGGCACCGTTTTGCGGTCTAAAGGGTCAAATGCTGGTTGTTGACGCGACAGGTTGACCTGCTGTCAGAATGCATCACTTCACACCAGAGGGATTTATGTCATTTGATTCTCCCCTTCTCCCCTTCATCCCCCCTGTGCCCCTTTTTTCCTTTCCTTTATTTACCCCTTTTCTCCACCTCTCCCACCCTTTCGCCCTCTCACATCTGGACCTGGTTTTTTAAGCTGTTAAAACTCACACACACACATTGGCAGAGGTTTGAAGTGTTTCAGAGCTGGAAAATTGAACTGTAAAAGTCAGGAGGTTGAACCCATTATTTTGTCCATTAGAGTTTCTGTAAGCTTACTGTGGGTAATTGTGAGCACCTGTGAGAATTCAGAGGGAGTGAGACTGATCAATGTTTGAGATAAAATGCTTCCCTGCTTGAGTATTCAGATCCCAGCTGGCTTTTAATATTGAGGACTAATTCAGATATCCTTAATAACATGATAGATCAGGATGTAAACTTCACCGATCTGTACTAGCAATAAACAGTGTGAAAGTATAAATACGATCCTTTAAAAAATTGTTTAGGAAAAGGCCTGATTTCAAATTGAAAAAGTTAAGAAAAGTTTGAATTAAAATGTAATCAAAGTATCAAAAGTAAAAGTACTCTTAGTGCAGAATGGCTCCTTTAAAAATGATTCTGTTATTATTTATAATATAAGTGGAGACAATTTCAGATACTGTACTTAACAACTATCACATCCTATGTTGTCATCTCTAAGCGGTTGACCAATCACAACAGTGCCGGACTGGGCTCTGCTCTGATAAAGAGCTTTTTGAACATTAAAGCATTTCAACATGTCACAGTAGAGACACAAAATACAAGTATGAACCTGAACATGAGCATTATAGGGCTCCTTTAATCACCTTCATCAGAACATGTGTGACAGCAGTGAAGACTCTCCTCTAAATACATGTCATGCAATCATGAACCAACAGAAAAAACTGGTGGGGAAAATGAAACGTGTGAGAAGACAAATGATTGACTAGTTTCTTGAGGCATTTGGAGGAGCAACACATGACATTCAACGCAAAAGCATGTTGGGAATACATTCAGGAATGCTACAGTCCTATGAGGAGCTTCAAGTATGGCTAGGCAATATGGAATATTTTAAATATCAAAATCTCAACCTTGCGTTCACTATTGGTGCTTTCATCAAAAATATTTTTCAAAATTAGATTCTAAGTGATAAATAATCAGAGGTGGGAGAAGTACTCAGATCTTGTACTTAGGTGAAAGTAGAAGTACAAGAGTGAAAGAATACTCTGTTACAAGTAAACGTCCTGCATTCAAAAAGTGCAAAAAAAAATTAGCATCAAAATATACTTAAAACACAAAAAGTAATAGGACTCATTCTGCAGGTTTGATGAGATTTCAGAATAACATATATTAAATGTTTTATAATGATTGATCATGAAAGTGTTCTCAAAGCTGGTAACAGTGCAGCTAGTTTGAATGACTTTGTATACTGCAGGGTAGCTTGTGAATTTACTCCAGGTGGAACTAAAGTCTGTTGATTATATATATATTATATTTCACATCATTAATCCAAATCTGTAAAGTAACTAAAAGTATTAAATCAATATAGTGGAGGAAAAGTACACCATTTACCTCTGAGTTGTAGTTGGGTAATGTTAAGTCGCATAACATGGAAATACTCAAGTAAAGTACAAGTATCTCAAAATTGTACTTAAGTTCAGCACTTGAGTAAATGTACTTAGTACCTTAATACCTATGACTTTAATGACTTAGTGGTAAAAAAAAACTAAAATGTATACTATCATGCCATCATGCAGCCTTTAAAATCAGGATGGCAACACTTGGTAAGATATCCAAAAGTCAATATGTATTCTCATATCACAAAATCAATATTATATTGATTTATTGCCCAGCCCTAAAAGTCAACAGATGCCTTGTTGTGATTTGTTTTATCTTGTAATCATACTAAATATAAAAATCAAATTTGGACTCTTTTATCTTGAGGTATGGGTTATAGACAGCTTAACGCTTTGGTCACACTGGAGGAAACCATCCTTCACAGTGTGTGGTGGGAGGATGAAGATGTAACACACGCTGCTCTGACTTCCCTCCGTCACGTGGTGAAACATGTGTTCAACAACAGCACATCTTTCACACAACTGCTATCAATTGTCGGGATATCCACACGCGGGTCATTAGGGACTGCACATCTTGTGTTGTTTTAACACGTCACCCCCACCTGGCACGTTTTTCCTGTTAGTGTACACATTGTGGTGCATTGTGGGTATTCTGGCACCATCTACAGAAGCGGCGGCTGCTGTATGTTACCTTGAAATCGCACCCTAAAACGGAATTCTTGTGATCCCACCTGAACTCACCCTGTGATTTTCATAGCATGATGTACATTTTCTTTTCTATATAAATGAGGTTACTGATTTGGAAAAAAGTCATAATCACAGCTAACCTAAAATGTTGTTCACAGCATACAATTTATATTTCAATAAACATTGTTAAAATCATATGATCATGGTAAATTAGGCTTAAGTTTAAGGTTATCAATGATGTGCAAACAAGATTACCATTTTAATACCTGCTTGCAGCTTTACTAAAGCTAAAGATATAAAGATATTCTGTCATACGTAGATAAATTGCTTTGGAGAATATATCATATGTTGCATTGATATTATTATATACGTGTGTTAGTACCTTTGGAATTGTTTTCAGTTGTTTTCCTCCCACAACTGACAACCAAATATTTTATATTAAACCTTATTGCCTTCATTAAAACCATCTTATCATTCTTAACTATTTTCTTACCTTCAGCACATGATGTGAATTCAGTTTCAGGGTGGAATGCCTCTTTTAAACCCTAGCATGTTTCCCTGGAACCCTGACGGACCTTATTACACCTGGTGCTTGTTAAAAACCCAGCACAATCCCATGCAAGGGCAGAGGTCAGCGTTTTACGCTACCTAAACCTGCCGCGCCTCTTAAAGTCCCTTAAGCCCGCAGATCGATAGCATATGTGCAGAGAACTGTTTCTCGGACGATGAGTCCAGACCTCACAGTCACGTCCAAAATCAGGGAAATTAGTTATGAGGAAATATGGTCTGCACTGGACTCTTCTTTACTTCTTACTCACCTTTCACATCTCAATTCAAAAACTATTTATAACTCTGTTCAACAAATTCCTTTGAAACATATCCTTTACATGTGAAAAGTCAAAGGTCATTGCTACTTAAACTAGCACAATATAATGACAGATTGACAAGAAAATCACTTAAGGTGGCTGAGTAATTGTGAAACAATAAAGTGTCCTTGACATCTTCTCTTATCATTTGTCTCCATCTTTTGGGCTTTGTTTTCTCTGAACCACATTATTTCCCAGATATCATCTGTCCTCTTACCATCTAATGCTCTTATGCCTTTTCCATGTTGTTCTTGTCAATTACATTTCCAAAGAGTTTTCGGAAGGTGTGTCCGATAAACAGGGATTAGCTACTTAACAGTTAACATTTCCCTTATGTAATGATTGGCCAAGTTCAATTTGGTGAAGCTAGAATTTGTTTCCCATAATCCAGTGCACATGGCTCAGTGTGTTTAGGTGTTTGCATGTGATTCTAGCTAGATTAGCTGTGGTTACGTAGTTTAAATCAGATGTATGCAACAACAAGAACCTTTTTAGCTGAACTGCAGCTACAGTACACCGTATATTGCACCGACTAGTTCAATATGTGCCACTATGTAAATTAATGTAGTCATCATTTATTAGCATGACTCAATTATACCTATTTTGGCGAAAGTGTTTGTAAAGATCAGAAATGTATCTAAACCTTAGAGTATTTGAAGGTAAATCACATTGAATCAACAAACTTACAACAACAATGGCTGTAAGGGTTAGGGTTAAATATAGAGTCATTATTCTCTGCATTTCTGAGCTAGATTCCTTTTTTGTCGTGTTGTCTTAATTTCAACCAATGGTCTACTTTGAACACCCCTAAGAACAAATATTTTTGTTTGAATGCATACCAATGTTTGGAACTGCAGCGACAGCAATGTTACACTAAATGACGGCAGCTCTGATGGATGTCTTCTGTAACTGTCCAAGTGTGTTCAAACCTTTTTTTACTATTAACCAGTCGTTAAACACTGCCAGAGCCCATACCATGTTCCCTTTAGTGTTTACTTTCTGCCTGTCTTCTTTTGCTGTTCCCTTTAGTGTTTACTTCCTGTTTGTGTTCTTCCTGATGATTTCTCTAAAGTTTTAATCTCTCTTGCGCCATTTTTCTTTACTTAACTGGGGACAGATGGCCATCTTTAATCCAAAATGTGGTGCTGTCAAAAACAAAAATAAATATTCAAAAAGTATTCCATGGTGTATTCTGAATAATGAAAACAAATGTTTGTTGGCCACAGCTGACGTTAAATTTACCGGACTTCTTTCTGCGGATGGACATGACTGCACATAGTCCCTTGATCCTCCTTAGAAAATAGTCTGTTATCCTTGGCAGCAGTTGATTGGCAAAATTAACAACCTCCGGAGGACGGGCAGGAAGACGGCGCAGGCCGCGATGGGACCCCGCCATTGTCAGCTGGATCACCAGAGCACTGGGATCGAGAGCAGGAGCTGCTGGAACGCCTGGCGGGTCAGGTGTAGAAGAGACTCGAGAGGGGACCTGAGAGGGAACTCGAGAGGGGACTTGAGAGGGAACTTGAGAGGAGACTTGAGAATGAACTCGAGAGATGACTTGAAAAGGAACTCGAGAGGAGACACGAGAGAGAACTTGAGAGGTGACTTGAGAGGGAACTTGAGAAGGGACTTGGAAAGGGACTCGAGAGGGGACTTGTGTCGGTCGGTACGCCTACCGACCAAGTAGTCGCCAAGTAGCCAACTTAGCTTATTTTGTTATGAGATGTGAATTACTGTTAAATTCAGTTCATGTAATAATCATTTACATTAAAAACAAGTTACAATTTTCAAAAGATCTTTTTATCGGGTGGAGGCCCTTTTTTCCAGTTTAGAGCAATAGTCCCTCCAAATGTCTGTGCACGTCCCTGCCGAGGATACACTGATGTATCCTCCGGGGATGTATTTCCGGCAACAGTGATGTTTAAAAGAGTCATGACACACGGCCGGACTTATCTCAACCAATGACAGCTCTGCATGCATCCCTGGATATTATTGTATTAACTGCTTTAATCGCGTTCCCCTCCTCGACTCCTCCACTCGCATCTCCTGTGGGCGGGACTAAGACGCAAGGGTAGGAGTCGAGGAGGGGAAATTAGATAAATGGGAAAGGTCTTATGTGTATTCAGAGCCAGTGAACAACGGACTTTCAAAATAATAATATGAATTTTAAAAAAAATGTAATGCGCGATGAAATAACTGGTGGTGTTAATTAATGAATGCGTTAACGAGATAACAGCGCTGTCAGGACCTCGACACAAACTGATGAACCCAAATGCACGACCCAGAGACAAAGTCTTGAATGTAATAAAAAAAATTATTTATTTGAACAGATCAGGTAATCCCTCTTAACAGAGTAGGTAGTGGAAATAACTAAAAGCGCTCACAAGGAAGAAAAAACTAGCGTAACAAAAATAGGACTCAAAATAAACAAACATAACAAAACCTGACATGAGTGAAAGCGATCCTTTCAGAGCTGAGGCATGGCACGACCATTCGGGGAAACAAACAAGACGAACTGACACAGGACAGGGGAGAGACAGGACTATTTAAACATGAGGTGAGTGGGAACAGGTGGAAACAATCAGGGGCGGGGCAGACACTGATGATGGTGGGAAAAACACACAAGGGGAGGAAGAAACAGGGCCTGAAATGAAAGACAAGAGGTAAATACACAATAAAACAGGAAATGACAGACAAAATACATAAACATAACTAACACATTTGACGAGACACAACAAGCGCTTAAACTTGCCCAGCTCTAATTATATTTCATGTTTATTTTTTCTTCCTTATAGTCTGATATATATCATACTTTACTTCAAATGTCAATTGTACTTTAACTGAGGTCCACTGAGTAAACTTATAGTGTATTTTTCTTCCGAATCAATGTCAGCCTCAGTTGCCTTGCCGTGTCTGGCAGGTGTGTGTCTCTGTGTGAGGTGAGTGTTAACCTATGATTAAGAAAGTCTGTAAATGAGAAAGCAAATATATCTGGCTGTGCACTAAATGTGCTTATAATACAGTTTATGAACTTAGCTTATAAGGTAAGTAAAGAAGCCATTTTTCACTTAACAGAGTCTGTTGCGTGGACTGTGACCTGTAATGACCTTTTTCGGGAACCTGTTTAATTAAAAACATTTATCAAGATTAAACCTTTCACCTTTGCACTCACACACACACACACACACACACCACACACACACACACACACACACACACTCATCGGAAGCATTCCTACTTTGTCTGTTGAGTCTTTGGAGGAGACATCTAACTCGCTGTTATAATATAATAAGACTTATTTTGGTTTAGCTGTAAGCCTAACTGTCATGCTACCAAGAAGTGAAATATATGGTCAGTGAGATTTACAAATCAGGACTGAACTCTCTTTGTTTGCCAAAAGAGAGAAGTGTATTTTCTTTTTTCTTCAGCATGTCTGTGTAAAAACACAGATTCATGCTGACAAGCTATACAGTATACTGTATAGCTTGTTTTCTGTTGGCATCTACATTTAGCAAAGCCACAGTCACAGTAAGTAATATTGAACATGTAACCTTAATGAGAGAAAGAAACTACTGGCATTCTACTGATTATATCATTCATTTCCCAATCATTTGGAAAATACATCTATAGCTAAAATGTCAGTCAAGATTTAAAAACAATCTTATCAAAGCTTCCTATAAAATACAATTTACTATTATTTTAGTGACCTGATTTTAATGTAACAATGGGGGACATTTTCTTTTTCTGGCTGAAATTCCAAAATGAACAGTAGATTGTAAGAAAACATTGAAAAAGGCTACTTATAATACAAAAAAAAAATATTATTTTAATGTAGATTCATGATTTTTGGTTTTTATAATATCGCAAAATAAAATAGTTTTTTCCATAAAGCATTTTTGATAGTGAATATATCAATATATATACTCCACCTACTAATCCCCTTTTAGAACAGCCACTATACTTTAACACAAAAACAAGAAACAGTATTAAAAAAGATATGTTTACAAATATTTTAAAAAAATACCCTGTATGGCATCTTTTAAATAAAGTGACCTATGTTCTTCATTTCAATGTGATAATGAAAATATACTTTTTTATTTAAAAAATGAATCATAAAAAATCTGTTCAAAACACTTAAGAGATTTCTATATAAAAAGGTGTACAACATCATTAATGTATACATACAAAAGGGCTTAATCACTGCTACACTACAGTATATCTTCAGATTTATTTCAGTAGTCAAGAAATGTTCTCTTCCTTCATCTTCTCCTCCACCCTGCTTCCATACCCTTTAAAGTATTTGAATTTCTCCTCTAATATAGTGCCCAGTATTCTTTCCTAATCCACACTCTGTTGTCTCCTGCAGCTCACAGAGACACATCACACGATTGTCGAAGCTGTCTGGAGTGTTCCCGGGACAACGGCTGTGTGCGTTGCCCCGAGCGACTCTTCCTGTTCCTGCAGAGGGATGGGATGTCTCACCATGGGACCTGTCTCCACGCCTGCCCCCCTGCACACTTTGGACAGAGAGGGAAGGACATCAACCGCTGCATGAGTACGATATTAGAAAAAGGCCTATAACCTGCAAACATCTCTCTGACTAAAGAGTCTTCACTGATAGCTAGTCTTACTCACATCAGCACACATGACTCATCTGTCTTCAGGCCCTTTATAATGAAGGAACTGATTATTTTTTAAAGTTCACAACAACAAACAATACCAATCTACATAGTTTACACTTTTGGAATAACCCCGGTATTGAGATTAATCCCTCTTAATTCATTCCAGAAAAACACTGTGCCAACAAAAGGGAAAACAAACTTTCCTCAGTGAGTGCCTGGTTCATTCATTGAGTTCATTCCCATTCACAAGAAAATGTATTTGATTTAAGAGATGCCAATAAGGGCTCGGGCAACATTTAGCAGAACCCTAAACTAATAGCAACATTTTGCATCTGCATGAGCAGTGAACTTGTACGTTAGTAATAGGCCAAGCTATTCGCATCATTTTGTCTACATCTCTCTGAAAGTTGAGCTTGCTGTGTGAGTGCTGAACTTGTGTGCTAACGTTAGCAGAAGGCTAAGGTATAAGCAACATGTTGTCTCTACGGTGGAGGAAATAAGTATTTGATCCCCTTGCAAAACATGTCTTAGTACTTGGTGGAGAAACCCTTGTTGGACACACAGATGTCAGACGCTTCTTGTAGTCTCCAGGTTTGTGAACATCTCAGGAAGGATGTTGGTCCACTCCTCTCTGAAGACCCTCTCCAAATCCTTCAGGTTTTGAGGCTGATGCTTGGCGTCTCGAAGCTTCAGCTACCTCCACAGATTTTCTATGGGATTAAGGTCCGTAGACTGGCTAGGCCCCTCCATCACCTACATGTATCTTCTTCTTTAGCCACTGCAGTGTTGCCTTGGCCGTATGTGCAGGGTCCTTGTCCTGCTGGAAGACCCACCCATGACCCACTTTCAGTGTCCTTGTTGAGGGAAGGAGGCTATCTGCCAAAATGTTACGGTACATGTTCTGGGGTTATAGTCAGCATCTCTCTTCCTCCAAACATGGCATGACGAGTTGATGCCCACATCACCTTCTCCCAAGCCTTCTCTGAATCATCCAGATGTTCATCGGCAAACTTCAGACGGGTCGTTCATGTTCCTTCTTGAGCAGGGGGCCTTGCAGCGCTGCAGGGTTTGATCCATTATGGTGTAGTTTGTTACCAATAGTTTTCTTGGTGACTGTGGTCCCAGCTGCCTTGAGATCATTAAAAAGTTCCTCCGTGTAGTTATTGGCTGATCCCTCACCTTTCTCCTCATCATCAATACTCCACGGGGCGAGATCTTGTGTGAATATACCTACCATTAAAACTATAGACTGTTAATTTTTTTGTAAGTGGGCAAACTTACAAAATCTACAGGGGGGTCAAATACTTATTTTTCTCCCTCCTCTTAGGGTGTCGCTCTTTGGACTGTGAGCACTGTTTCGACCGGGAATTCTGTACCAAGTGTAAACCAGGTTTCAAGATGTCCAGCGGCAAGTGTGTGAAACACTGCCCGGCAGGAACCTACGCCCACCAAACTGACTGCCTTGGTAAGTAATGATGCTATTAAATAACCCAATACAAATGTTAGAAATTAAATCAAATGATTAGAGGTAATCTGTGTGTATCAAAACGTGATATACAGTATCTTTCTCTCTGCCGTAGAGCTCTATTGTTGTCCGAAAACTATAAAAAACACACTAATGAGCCACACTGTTGAACTATGTAAAATGTTCCTTCTTTACCATGAACATACACTGTCCCAAATCCTCAATAGAGCCCCAAATGTGGATTCATCTGTCGCTGAAAATACTCCCCGACAAAGGAACTGTTTCCTGTCCCCAAAAATAGTTTCCAGCTGTTAGTATGTCTTGGTTGAATGATGAAAAAGTCAAAGTGTAGTTTAGCAGTGTGTAAATATACTCATTCCATGAAACGCTATCCTCCAAAAAAAAACTATAAATAATCAGCTTACAGTTATGAATGTTTTATATTTAGTGACTTGAAGTCAGTGAACTAAAAGCCTATTGACCAGCAGCCAGCTGTTAAATGCAAGCCGGCTCTGAAATGGAAGCTTCGGTCAAACGAACAGCAGACATATTCCTGGTAAAAACCTTTCCTTTAATCTGGTTTCTCTTTGGCTCCGTGGTCATTTCCTGCAGTGTTTTATGTTTGAAGGGTTGATCATTTATTTGGTTATGTATTTTTTAGGTTGCATCAGGCGGACTTTGGTCAAAAATGTGCGACTGTTGATAAATTGCAACTGTTTTGGTAAACTACACTTTGTTTCAAATAAGACCATGAATAAGAAAACACATCTTGAAGCTATTTTTAAACGATTTCTCATGGATAAAATGATTATTCTCGAAGAAAGTGACATTATCAAAGTAAAGAAACTTCTTAACACATAACAGTTTAGTTACACATGCGAACTACAAGTTCAGCCTTTGTGGTATTTTGTCTTGAAGTATTTAAGTGTTTGTTTTGAGAACGGATTCTTATCTTTGTCTGTTTCTGTGGACTTGCATGTGCTCCATTTATTTCTTTTTATTTCTTAATTATTTTCTAATATGCAGCCAAACTTTCAATTCAATACATGATTCACGTTAAAGTCTTCTGAGAAGTTTAATAATGTATTACCTTATCTGGTTGTGTATCGTCCCTTCTAACTAACTGAGATATACTGTTGAGTTTCCCCTCTGCTGTCCACCTGCGCCATCTGCAGCTTCTGCTGTTTTTTGGCTTCGTGACCACATCTGGTTTTGATGGCGATGTTAAGGGTTCATGCCTCACTGTTGGTATACACCTCGAGCAACTCCAGCAAAGAGTCACTGGAAATCTATTCATTTATACCAAACTGACAATGATAATGATGATTTCCAGGAAATGTTGTCCCAACTTGGCTATGGCTGATGGTTTTTCCGCTGTGGGCTTTGTGGAAAAATGGCAGTGATTGATTTTGTCGGTGACATCACTAATCAGCAAACGGTTACTAGGAGTGTGACGTCCCGTGTATTAATGCTTCAGCTGGTACTCATCTATCTTAAATGATAGCAATGTGTTTGCCGGTGTCTGAGGAAAACCATTGTCTTAAAATATTGCAACTGCTCCGTGGGTGATTGTTGTGAGTTATTGATTTATCTAAACCATCTCAGTTGTTGCATTTCTCTAATGGAAGAGAAAATTAAGCCAAAACATTAAAATTAAAAGGAAGTTATTTACAGTTGGCATTTTCTTTGGTATAGGGGTGATTTCGAAAAGTAAGGGGCCATGCGGCTTCACAGCATTGGACGACTCATGGTCATGCCACTAGGCATCAGGATTTGGCTCCTGATTGGAAGAAGGATTTCACTTGTTAGCTCCCGTAATTGAAACCGGACAAATATGGCAGTTTGTTTTAAAACTATTGGCTATATTATCTTATCAATGAAATGTGTTTCGGAAAAGGGCGTAGGGAGTTTCTGAAGGCGGTGATTTGCACTGGACAACTCTCATAAAGTACTCTTTACCTCAACTTTAGACAATATGTCGCCATCTAAATACTCAATGCTGTAATACCAGAATGCATTGCAGGGCTTCTCAATTAGACCATGAAAAAGAAGCTTTAAAATGACAGATCCTGTTGACATAAGCTCCCTTTATACTATACACGATTTACTCCATGTTCACCGCGAGGTTGGACGAAGAGCATGGCTGCGAAAACAGACAGTTAGTTTTGTTTCTATTATTACCTCCTTTTGCTATCATGCGCCGGCACCTATTTATGGGACAAGTGGCGCAGGCAGCAATATAGAGCCGTATTACCGATTGTCAGGTGATCTGATGTTTTATAGTAGCTTAAGGCCGAGAGAGAGAAAAGTGCATTTTAAAAGTTTAAAAATGTACTTGTTGAAACACCCATGATGTTCCTTTGGTTTATCACATTCTAAACTTGGCTTCTGCAATCCTTGACAAATCTCAATCCTTTTCTCTCTTAGAGGACGGTCTCTTGGCTCCATTGGGAGAATGGAGCGAATGGAGCGCCTGTCTCCGTGAAGGCGTCACCTGCGGCTTCAGGTGGGGCAAGCAGACCAGGACCCGGATAGGCGGGCCGTCCGGGAGAACGCCTGAAGAGAAGGCAGCATCACTTTGTCCGTCGCACAGCGAGACACAGAGGTGCAGGATGAAGAAAAAGTGTCCCACAGGTGAGGAGAAAGGGGGGAGATTAGAAGTGCAAACAATACACATTTAATAGTTGTTCATATACAATTTGTATTTAACCACAGACCAGCTGCTGCTTGTTCTTTATTATGTTGGACTACCAACACTTGTCTATTTCCAGCATTGCTAAGTCTTGTGTAATGTACTCAATTGACACGCTTGTGCAATGTATAATGCCAAATGGGAGATTGGACCTCTTTAAAAACATGTGCAACTTCAAGTTAATACTTGTAGGCTGATGTTAACCGTTTTTCCTTTCGGGAGCAGTAGCAGAGCAGGGAAGAAGCTCCATAACTGTTGGACCTTTTACAGACAAGTTTCAAAGGTTAACAGTTTTTATTGCATATTACGGAGGTGTTATGTTCCTGCTATCCCTCCATATGGCTAACTTTATGCTTTATTGTCTTTGGTTGAAAGGTGAAAGTTCTTTGAAGCTGAAGTTACTGACATTCTGTAACTTAAGTGATAAATAATGGACATGACCACATCAAACTTAGGGAAACAATGAACTAGTTTCATAAACTATTACTAGTAAACGTACATAAATCAAACTTGTTCACAGCAAAGGAGTATCAATAAATTCCCTTTTTATAAAGCAAGTTTTCATGGTCAACTAGTCAATATCAAGTATCAGAGTTTGCCTTTCTCTCTCATCCTATGATCAATTACTGCTGTATTTTTTTTTTGAAATATCACAATAAACCTGTGGCACGATTACAGCTGTGTTAGAGTTATAGGACCATTTTGGTAAAGGTTAAAATAAATCAAAATGGACTTGTGGTAGGAAACGGTTAGCTAACAGCAGTTTCCAGTTTTCTTTTGTTGACAAACTCCTCCCTATGCTAAGTTTGTCCTCCCTCTGATCTTGGTTTGGATTCAACTACATACAGAATCATTTTTACTGAGGTGCGGAAGTTACATAACAAATATTCAAGGTTGACTTCAGCTTGACTTTGTTTCTCCTCTTACTACGTCAACTGTCTTGGCTCTTGATTACGTAGGTTAAATACATATTGATTTTGTGGGTTAAATACAAATTACAGTGATTTACTTCTCAGGGCTATTATCCATTATGTCATTTCCTCTGCTGTCAGGGAAACTTTTAGGAAATGTAGTGTTCACCTGTTTGTGCTGTGATTTTGTCTTTAAATCATAACAACACAGTTTGGGAGCTTTTGTTTATGGTAAATGAAATATGACACTAGCATGGTACAAAAAGTTTCTGATGATGGCATGTGGTGGAACAACTGAAAGGCTGCGGGTAGGAAACCACTTTCAAAATGTTTATCTGTTTTATTAACATTCAAATATATTCCCACATGGCGTGCTTTTTGGAAAGCAAAATATCTGAGTCACATGTTAAGGAAAAAGTGATGATATTTTCGAAAACCAGCATTTCATAACCAAGTTAGAGGACGTCCATTAAATCTTTCTCTTTCCGTTAGAGTAAAACTAGGAAACATATTGATATTGCTGCATAATTACTGTGTTTGCGTGACATCTCAGTGTTTAAAGCTGTTCAAACATCCTCAAAGACAAATCTACAGCCCCTCACAGAGGATTTCTCTCTTGAGCACCAGGTAAAGAAAATGGAAACAGAAGAGAATGAAGTATGAAGATGAAATGATAACGGACTGTATGTCAACCTTGCCTGGCTTCACGTTGCCAAAAAAGGCCTTGTTTTTCTGAATGTTGGCTGTTCTGCTGCAAGATAACATCTTAAAACCTCACAGCACCTCAGCTTCATCAGAAGTTTTACTTTAACGCTGCTTCCATCCAAGGATATCAAGGCTCTCCGATGTAGTGCAACTCACAGCGATAGGACTCCAGAGGGTAATGCTCATCATGTGTTCTGTGTTGGTGAGCCATAATGAATCCTTAAAATCTCCAACTGCAAGAACATTTTTGAAAACTCTCTGTTGTGAAATTGCTGTCAATACTAGTTAAAAATTGTACTGAAGAGAACAAAAACACAGAGTATTTAGTCAATTACGCTGAGCCCTCATCAGTGTTTGGCCTTTGTTTTTAACTCTGCATTTAATTAATGACCGACTTCAAACTGCTTTTCTAAAACCTTCAGAACCTTGCAGCACGTTCCCTCCAAAACCAAATTGTGGTTGTGACTTTTTGTTGTTCTATCTTGTCGAAGTTCTTTGTGTTGTTCACTCTTTCAAAGTTGGTGGGAAAGCCGGGAGTTATCTGCCTTCAAATGTCTGTAAATATTGTCTTGCTTTGGTTACTGGGTGTTTGTGTGTCCATGCCTGTGTGTTTTCAACTTCTTCCACGATAGAAGCCATGTAATTTTAAGTAATTATCATGATCATTGTCAGATAGTATGTCCGGTGGCATTAGCAGAGGAAGAAATCGGATCCAGCAGAGTCTGGTGCAGGGATCGGGCCCTTGCACCTAATAGCACACATCTGGGATAAAAGGGTGCTGTGGCATCGCTCTGACATTCCTCTGTTGTTCCAGATTAGACGGCTCTAGTCATTTAATTCCTGCTCTCTTGTTGTCTTATTGTTTTCAGATGATGAGGAAGGACATGGGTCTCTTCTGTGGTTCTCCTTGCTGCTGCCAGAAAACGTTCAGGGGCTAACCGAGGACTTTGTAGCTTGTTCTACTGGCAATTTAGCAAAATGTCTTACAGACTGTTGAGATGTTATGCTGTAGGGGAATGTCTCAATTGGTAGCACAAAATCTATTTATATTTCCGTCCATGTTATCTGATTGACATATGCACTTAATGAACAGTGGCCCAGCTGTTTGACAGAGAATCTACAGGTCACGGGTTCAAGTTTAAGAAAAGTGTTCAAAGGTGAAGATCTAGTACAGAGGTTGCAGATGTTGCAGTCTTGCTCTGACATTGGGTAGAGAAGCATTTTTGTAGCTGGTATGCAATCAGTTCAATTCTGGTACCAGCAAGATAAGCCCGGGCGAGTCAAGTAAACGAGAAGCAGTCACCTGAGTAAACTACCCTGTATAAATTGAGCACAGTTAATACTTTTACAGCCATGGGCGACTTTGAGGTTGTATTTTACCGCAGTGTTGCCTGGCGCTATAAAGTCTGGTAAATGTTTGTTTGGCATGTTAGCATACTTACTTAGCCGGTAAAGATAAGGCTAACCAAGTCTTTTTGTTGACTGTTAACTGTTTATATATATATATATTAAAACTTAAATTATTAGTTTATTGCGACTGTATGGAGCGTCGTACTCTGATGTGCAAGGCTAGCCAGTGAGTTAGAAAGTGACGCCAAGGTTTCCTGACCAATTGTCTATATGCGACGAGTTAAGTATAATAATTGGCTAAAAACTGAGCACCAATCTGTCCTTGTTTTGACAGGCTAGTGCCTCTACAGGAACATTTAGGGGATGAAGGATTCACCCCCTGGGCACCATTAATGGCTTGAACCCTGCTCACTGTAAGGACTGTTAAGTGTGTTTATTTTTACCCAACCAGTTTTGCCATTGTGTCTAAGCATAATCAAATGGTGAACCATATTTTTTACGGTTAAATAGAATTGCTTACCCACAGATGGTTAAGCTTTCATAGCCTGCAATGCTAAAGACGTGCTTCACTGGAAATCAAGAAATAACTCAACATTCTGAATATTTGGATATTTGTAACCAGCTGAAGGGGGTTTGAGTTTGTAAAACCATAAATAATCCAAAATATGGTGGGTAGTAGTGATCCCATACATTACTTTTCTAAATCCTACAGCTCTTTGATGTTTCCCAAAGCCAGTTAAAGCAATTTATTTTCTGTTTTATTTTAAACAGTAGGACTGCAACAAATGAAAGAAACAAAACATTGTAAATAAAGGACTGTTGCTGATAGACAGCATTTCAAATGACTGAGTCACAAAGGCCAGGGGCCAGATAGACATGATTTGTCTGAAGACGTCTTACATTATTTGAAGTCGGCCAGGATGACATTCAATAGCTCCATACCCCGTCAAGTTGTGGATTCTGTAGGCAAACCCTAACCCTTAACCTCAACTAGCACAAAAACGTCTTGATGCTCTGGATCAGTTTGAATTTGCTGTTGTAGTTAGAATCAAACAACATTTACACGCTTAATAACAAGCAAGCATTCACCCGTTCTTAAGCTGGGGAAAGAAGCTACCTTACAAGGTGCTATCTGTTTATCAGGAGAGGTAAGGGTTCACACACACTTATGCACTTTCAGGGATAGAGTCTTGCCCACGACACATCAAAATGTAGACTGCAGTGGCTGGGGATTAAAGAGACCGTTTGATTATTCAAGCTCTCTCCACATGTTGATAACTAAACCAGCCTTTTCCGAGGTTCTGAGGTTTGGGCTGCTTATTATATTTGTTAGAATTACTTTGGCGGCTTAAGACACATGTTTGGACTTAGAATGAAAGCTTATTAGTTGTATTTATGATGGTTATAATCCCCCCAAGTCAGACTGATTTACTTGCTGCAGTGCAGCGTTTATTCAGGGAAATAATGCATTTCCCTGCTTAAAAATCAAAGAAGCTGGTACAGTAGGTAGGGTTTCATGATGCAGTCAAACACAAATGTAAACAAAAGGAAAATTGTGGTGTCTATGGTCAAAATCTATTTGCATGCATCTGCATTGCATTTATCTTTCTAAACGCTAAAGTCACTAAGACTAACTTCCCCTGTCGTCCATCCTTCATGATCATTCTGTTAGTGCTGCTGTATAAAGTTTCATAAATGCAGCAAAGTAGAAATAATTGGATATAAGTCATAATAGAAAAACTGTAGTCCTTTGTGGTTTGTTGCCTGGTTATTACTTTTGTTCTCTGAATGCTGAAAAGAGAGCTATGCTTTATTTGTACAAGGGATTCCTCTTGGGAAGAGAATACTGCAGCTGTACTTGAGTACAATACTTAATGTAATAAAGGCTTGGTCCAATCCAATATCACACACATAGTCCTGCACGCTATAGCTAGCTAGCCAAAAACAAGTTCAAAACACAATAACAGAGGCTGACA